TCGATGGTGGAAGATGAACGGTCCACCGTCATCTGTCTTCATGCAATGCGCAAGGAGCTAGAACCTGTGTCGTTGTGGTCTCTCACAGCTACCAGCTACAGGGGAAAACCTGGCTGGTCTAGCGTGGAATAGAGATCCATCTGGGCCACATGGTAGGGCAAGACAGTCTGGCAAGGGCTTTTGTGACCCTACAGCATGGTTGGTCCTGGGTGCTGTGGCCCCTTGGGCAGGTGACCTTGGAGAATGGACCTTCTCGGATGAACTCTTGCTATAGAAGATCCTCCCCCTGGTAAATCGGTAAAACCAAAGACCATAGAGTTTATTCCAATTCACAACGCCCCCACGTGTGTGTCAGCGTAGGACGGAGCTCCCCAGAGTCCAGAGGCTGAATTTTTTCAAGGCTTCTCCTCTGAGATGTCTGTCGATGGGCTGGAACCGACAGCCTTTGGATTCATGGTTGAACGTGCTAACTATTTTTACCACCCAGAGACTCCCTTGCACAAGAACTCTGTTGGGGGATGGGGAAGGCATCATGTGGCACCCACCTTAGGTCCCTCACCCCTCTGTCTGGCCACGGAGAGTCTTTCTGGAGCCTAAAGAGCCTCCCTGCCTGGGTCAGAGGGAGCTCTCTGGTGGCTGTGCGGACCACGGAGCCATGGTCAGACTTGGCCAAACATACCTGGCCTCCGGAAAGGAAAATGAGCTACCAGGCTCATTCCAGGGACAACCTGTACCACCCACAGGCCCGCCTCGGGGGCGTCATCCCGCCCACAGCCACTGCTGGGAGAAGTCATGGTGCCAGCCACAGCTCAGCTGTTGGAGCCATGAAGCCAATCCACAGCTTGGCAACACCAGATCCCTGGGAGGGGTTTGGGGAGCACATCCCCAAAGACTAGGATCTGTGGGAACAGAGACAGGGTAGTAGTTAGTTATCCAAGGGAGGAGGGAGCAGGGGACCAGAACTCTAAGAAGCCCCAAGGGCCAGGAAGATGCAGAATAAGGTTAAGAAGAGCCACTCAGCTCTGTAGACGACTGGACATCCCTGGCAGAGGGGTAGCGGGGAGGAGATGAGTCACTCAGGGTTCAGTGTAGCAATAATGAAACTCACAACCTTCCTCTAGTTCTTAAATGCTTCCTTCCCCCAATTATCATTATCTCAATTCTACCTTGCAAACCTGGTGAGACCAGAGGATGC